CAGAAAATTAAAAAATATAAGAATAGCTAAAATACATAATCACAAATTTAAAAGCAACACGAGACAGGCTGGGCAAGACTACGACACTTAAGACTTTTATTTAAGTGCGGGGATTTTCACAGTCAATTAAGAATAAAAAATCAAAAAATGCTAGAAAACTGGTTGAATAGTGTTTTGCATCAATAGCATTTTCTGCATAATTTATGAATTAAAAAAGCCACCAGTTCTTAAATGACATTCAATAAGCACTCTTTACAACAATTCATGTTTAATTTACAAGGTAATGCTAAAATACCGTAGTCATTTTGTTTTGGTAGTCATTTTTCAAGTGACGATAGCGCCATGGGGCACTAACACTACTAACATCCATTTCGTACTTCCTTTCATATTTGAGTTTAATCATCCCAGCGAGGTTTGAAAAAGAAAGCCCCAATTTTCACAAGAAAGCAAAACCGTGAAAGATTCTGGTAGCAGTAGTAAAGGGGCGGGGGACGAGACAGGGTGGTCACAACCTCCCGCCTTCCGTACCCTTGTGTCCTTTTGTCTCCCGACTCCCTCCCTTCAGCGAGAGAGACGAGAAACTTACCGGTATATTACACGACTGACACAGTCGACACACGTGTACATGTGTTATGCCATCTCATTCATGACCTATGATGTAAGCGACTTGGAAAGGTTTCGAGTTTGACCGGAAGTAATGCCGTTTTTTTTTTATCCCGATTAAGAATTTTCGATTTTTGAATTTTCTCGAATATGAAATATTTCTTTAAGCTTCGGAGAACGTTAAATAGACGTCTTTGGGTTCGTTTCTTTGACTGGATGATAAGCAATAACAAATAACGAAAGCTTGCCTTTTTGAATTTCTTCCCCGCTTCCCGCCGTCGTAGAGATCCCCCTTCCCGCCCTTTCTTCTCCCGGGTTCCTTCGAGGCCGTCTTAAAGATAATGACCGAGCCCGTAGCGCGGACCGAGCGGGTAGATTTAATGCACCTTTTCATTGTTTTAGAACCAGCAGAACATTGTTGTGGTCACTAAAATGGAACGGTAGGCTGTTTTTCGTAGTAATGACCACCTGTTCCACCTCAATGACCTGCTTTTCCTTTTTCTGAAAATCATGCCCCGCTCAAAACAACGGAAGGTGCATTAAAATGTCTTGAGGGGATCATCTACATGCTCGGTGTCAAAACTATGAATCAGCTTACCAAATCCATTTTCTTGTGCCTATACGGCTGTCTAAACGGCATTTTTATACTTTTTACTGACTAGGTAAGTACACCAGTGATGTTTTTCTTTTCCGTAAAATAGCATAATAAAATAAATTGAAAACAATAACAACAATCATCTTATCTAATTCCAAAGTCATTGACCGCGATGGCAAAGTACTTGACAGGACACCTCTACCCAAACGTTCCTCGAGTGCCCCCCCCCCGCCCCCTCCCCACCCCGGGAGTTGACGTACCTCCCGTAAGTGACCTCCCAATCTGCGAAAACAATTGAGCGCTTGCTTACAGAAGGTGAATGCTTACGAGAATGGTACTATAGAGGGCCTTTTCGAAGACGAGGACCTGACACATCTACTTTTTGAAAGAGAATTCATTGGATTGCAATTGTAAAGTTACGGTACAGCTCCTTGTGGTCGCTAAAAGATCTTCGCAAAGTAGCTCTTACAGTAAGCATAGAGATCGAGCTTAAGTGGGAAATCTATTTTAAAACCGTAACACCCAAAGTGGTCACGGTCGCTTTCGATCAATAGGTGGTTTTTTAACTGTAGTGATCTGACCAAAAGACATGCAGTAGTCCAGGTGAATAAAAACGGGCTATCCATAGAGATCGAGCTTAAGTGGGAAATCTATTTTAAAACCGTAACACCCAAAGTGGTCACGGTCGCTTTCGATCAATAGGTGGTTTTTTAACTGTAGTGATCTGACCAAAAGACATGCAGTAGTCCAGGTGAATAAAAACGGGCTATCCATAGAGATCGAGCTTAAGTGGGAAATCTATTTTAAAACCGTAACACCCAAAGTGGTCACGGTCGCTTTCGATCAATAGGTGGTTTTTTAACTGTAGTGATCTGACCAAAAGACATGCAGTAGTCCAGGTGAATAAAAACGGGCTATACGTTCCTCTGAAATAGAAAAAACAACGTCACTTGGGGTAACCTCAGAGAGAGACCGAAGAGAAGTGGACATGTCAAAGGTCCATAACTCTGTGTCGTCATTTTTTAAAAGTACTACACCATCCCTTGTTGGAAAGATGGAAACAGAGCCAGGGAGTTCTATCGTGTTCAATTCCTCGCGGTTTGACATTCTCAAAGCAGTAACCAATGTTACCTTTCTACTTGAGTCCGAGGAAACTTTAACAAACTCTATTTAGTGGAACTATTTAGTGGAATAAATAGTATCTTCTTTAAGAGAACAGGCAATCTCTTTGACCTCTCTACCGTTTCTCGAATCAACAAGCCCTTAAAATTTCGAAAAGACCCAAGTTCCTCTAAGGTGACCGAACAGATACAAATTTTATAGCGCCACTTAAAATGAATTTCTACAGCTCTAAAAGTACTTTGGATAGCCTAAAAAGTGTTTTCAATGTATTAAAGAGGAAACTGTCGTTGGGTGCATTCTCCAGCTGATATATGTGCTATTGGCCCCGGTTCCTGGTGTATGTATACGTTTTGCTACCTTTTACAGCTTTTAGTCAAACAATAAAGATAAAGAAAGGCTCTGAAGTGCTTTCTGCTACTTTGAAAGTCCCAATTTTTACAAGGATCATTACTAAACTCTTCACATAATTCTTATGTTAATCGTACACTAACTTTAAGAACAAGCTTCTTACACCCCGCTGTTAGCTCGTTACCTTTATATTTAGTTTTGTGTTTGTAATTTGGTTCGGGGAGAGAAATGACTCCCATTGTATTGGATTTTTAAGAGCGAATAAAGTTACTTTTGTTTTAACTTTTGGGAAAATACCGCAGAGCTGATTCGAAACATCCGAACTCTACTACACGTATTGTTCACCGAAATCACTACATAAAATAGAAATAAAATAAAAGTACAGACGATCTGATTGATCACAGAAGAAAAACAAAGAGAGCTGTACATTCTGTAAATGATTCCCAAAACAAAACCGCCTCTAGTCTTACAAGTCCTTTGTCTCTTTTCATCTTACAGAACTACTCAAAATGAACACCAAGAGAACTCAAGAATCCATATCTGAAATGAGTTTATGGCAAGCTTGTAAGTGATCAAAATTGATGTGACCCCAGTCCTCTGAGGAATTGTCAACCAAACGCAACTGGGCATTTTTACCAGCGTAATCTGTTACATTCCAGCTTTCCTCTTTCATAGCTTCATCACACGCCTTTGTCGTCTTTTTGCGAACCACTTCCCCACCAATAATAAGCTCGGCACGAAGGTTTGGAAAACTCTTGTCGCAGCCTGATCCAATCAGGAAGGTAAGCAACTTTCCAGTAATCTGAAAACTGGGTGACGTCATTGAGCCTTGAGGACCATCACCTTGCTGTCCCCCAAACGGTTCAGAGGGACTGGACCGATTCTCGTAGGTACCAATCCACCAATCCCCTTTGTGGTTGCTCTCAAACTTATACTTCCTTCCTGATAGGTTATCCCCGTATGTTGGCTGATTATTGAATGCTGTACCATTTAAAGTCCAATTTGACAAATCATGGTCTTCGAAGTCAAATATTGTGTAACACTCTAGTTTGAGAACAAAAGATATTTAAGATCAGAGAGTGAGATGACTGTGACAGTGAGATAATCAATTTGTTCGTGTTAAAAGAGAAGCCATAGGAGACAATTTAATAGCGAAATTTTCATAAGCATAATTATTATTAAGATCGAGAAGAATTAAATCAGAAGAGCAGCCAAACCAGTTTTTACCTCGTCAGAAAAATATCAGACTGATCAACATTTCTGCTAGCGATGAGACACTATGTTGCCCGAGGCAGTTGTTAAAGAGTTTTCCTTAACTCCTCTAAAAAACAAACCAGTCCCTTCTCATATAATGTTTTGTTTAAAAGTTTACGATTTACGTGATTTACGATCATAACTGTCAAAGCAGCCAATGCCTCAGACTTTAGAAGATTCGTTGGTGTTCAGTGCAGTGGTTTTTTTTTACAAAAGCTAAAGAAAAAAAATTCTCCATCTAGCGCACCAGTTATTGTTAACACTTTATTGCATGGCCGTTTTTTTTTTCTTTACCAGGAACTATTGGCAACCTCAACCTCCTGGTGATCAGAAAATCAGTGATGTCTTTTACCCTCGCTTGCAACTGCTTTCAGTCTTGGGAAGTCTGCACTAACAGTGGTATACCTGTGCAGATGTATCCGTCTCCATAGTAACCAATATTGCAGGTGCATCTAAAAGATCCTTCAGTGTTCGTGCAAGCTGCGTTCTTTCCACATCTCAGTTCTTCTTGACATTCGTTGATATCTAGAATAGTGTTGTAATAGTGTGAATTAACTACTTACATCTCACTTGCGTTTATATTCTTTATAAAGCGGAAGACAGTGAATAAGCCGCCCTTTCTTTTAAGTCTTCTCTCCCTCTCTTTCCTATGCAAATAGATCAATGGTATACTAGCATAATATTTCTGCTACAAGCTCCCCTTTTCGTCTTCTTGGCCAGAGAAATAATACCTCGCTTATAACTGAGCTTTCCACTTCCATCAGCACGCTGGATTTAAAATCCACTCTTCTACCTTTTCTTCTGGATACCGGCTCTTTAATTAATTAATTAATTAATTAATTAATTATTATTATTATTATTATTATTATTATTATTATTATTATTGTTGTTGTTCCTTGTAGTCTGTTAGAAACTGGCCCATTCCTTGGTCCTGAGTTGCTAGAGGGATATTTTACTGGATGGACAGAAATCTTCTTAGTATACGTGCCGCTCCTAAGAGGATGATCTTTTGCAGTTTATTGATGGTTAGATCTTTTCTGAACTGTTTACAACAACTAAGGACCCAAGTAAACACTGGGATACCTGTGCAGTTGTATCCATCTCCATAGAATCCAGTCTTGCAGTTGCATCTGTAAGATCCCTTTGTGTTTGTACAATCTGCGTTCTGGCTACACTCGTGACTGTTTTCATCACGGTGAAGATAGTTATTAGAAGACTCATTCAGTTACTTTGCAAAGAAAACGATGAATGGACAGTGGAACTGTCTCGTTTACACGACAGGTCGACAGTCCACCGAAAATTAACTCAACTTCAAATTATAACTCAGATCGAGAATTTTAGGCTAAACGAAGGTGAAAGTAAAGAGAAACGTGCCGCAAATCCTGAATCCCCTCCAAAGTAAAAGGAAAAGTCTTTCATCAATGCACAAGCTCCTGAAAACGCTGCTTCCGTCTGGAAGGCCCTGCGCTTGTTGCGCTTGTGATGATTTTGTCGACAATGGCAGGGCTAATATTACAGCGGATTGTATACTTTTTTTTCAAATTAATGTTCTCACATGTGGTTTCTTCCTTTTAAGTGCGGTACAGCTTGCGTGGTTTCATAACTACTACGTCCATTAAGTCCATTTTTCAGACCTACCCATTTGGCAGTTTGCACCTGTCCAGCCTCGACACAAGCAGTGATATCCTTTCTTCGTAAATCCTGATTGACAAGTCCCGTTATTTTTGCATGGAGAACTACCACAAGGATTCTGGGGAAAATATTATGGAAAAGAGATATTGTTTTATGCTTCTGAGCCTTTTCGAAACCTTTGCTAGAGGTGTCCGCCTTATCATGATTCAAGGAAAATGAGTAAAGAATGGCAGAGCCCAACTCTAATTGTTCATGTTATTTAAGTAGCAAAAAACTCTTTCTTTTGGGAGGCACTTGCAGTTTAAGAGGTAATAACAAAAATTTTCGATCTTAAAATAATAATAAAGTGAAATTTCTGAAAAACGGCTACAGTTGAAACAAAACTGTCTAGGGAGAAAAACTTGCGTTTCAGAGAGTAAATGAGAATGGCTGGCGAAAGGAAGAGACCTAGTGTAGTTGTCAGATTTAGTCGGGGGGGGGTTCAAAAGAAAGATGGTTTGCGTTTACTCCATTGCGATAAATCTGAATTTTCAATGACATCCAATATGACGGCCAACTCGGCTGCCATCATAAATGACGTACCTGGCCCTCAGCGCGTCAAATTCCATAATATTCACATGATCCCGTGCAGTTATCACAAACAGAAACTATCTCCTTAATTTTTGATCTTTGCAAAATATTGTAACACAGTCAAGCCCAAAGGGTGAGCTCCAGCCATTTCCCTTTGGACGAGGCGTTGGGCTATGGTATTAATAGGCTCGGAGACTGGATAACGTTAAAATTCAATGATCTTACTTTTGTTCCGCGGTAAAGGAAACTTGGTGCCTCCACAAAGTCTTCATCGTGTTCTCCGTGTGTAGAATTGTTCAATTCACAGCTGTATTTTCCATTTCCAACCATTTTGTTTTCAAAATTAACGCTGACACAATTGTGCTCGTAGTAACACCTCAACTCACACTCATCCAGATCGCGAACTTTTAAAGTTTTTATGGTGTGGTTCATCAGGCGCTTGTCGGCAAAGAAAAGAAAACTTGGGAACGCCAATTCGCGACAAGGACCTTAAGGAAAAAAATAGCAGAACTATATTTCTAATACTTGTAATAGAGTTCATTGGGGTTTCTTATTCAAATTTCAATAAGGATTCCGCATATTGTTCAGCGGTTAGCATTCTCTCTTCAACGGTCACTTAAGATCAATTTTGAAAATGTATTTTGAATAGCATACGAAACGTCAAGTTTATAAAAAATGCGAAAACTCACAATGTTTATCACCGCTGTTTGTGTTTTATTTTTGATCAAACTACGATGGCCCAACAACAATAGTCTCTAGTTAAGCTCCGCAGAATGTTAAAATTCTGACGCTGAAATGAAAAACTCCCACCTCAGCCTGTGTACAGACCCCCGCCCCCCTCCCGTCAGGAAAAATCGGAGAAGGGGGGTCTGTGATTCACTGTTGCTAATCGTGTATGGAGGCCACGTGATTTTTCCCGGAATGTGTGGAAAATAATTTGATTAGCTCTCGTAGACAAGAGAGAATGATCTATCACTACATCATGTAAATGAGGGATTTTGATTGTGCCCCTGTCAAGTACGAATCAAGCCTGTTCCTGATAACCTAGAGCTATATTATGTAAACTTAGTATATAACTTGAACTTGAATGCCCATTATCATATTTATAAATCTTGGACCTTTATGATTTCTACCGCTAACCTGACAGTGGCCAGCTCGAAAGCTGTCGCTTCTTTGCCCACTGTGCACGTACCTTCCCTGCTCGTGACTTCGGCATTCAGCCGAAGATGTGTCGGCCTTCCACCGCACGCAAAAAAACCTCCGGTACCCAGGGTCAATAAGTACTTGTGTAATAATATATTTTCAAATAATTGTTAGTACTAAGTTACACCCTGTAAACAGAGTAAAAAATAAAGTTGAGGTTGATAATTCACACTACAGGCTTTTTACTGCAAGTAACTGCAGTGCACTGCAGTGAATGATTCTGAATTTTGGATGGTGGATTGCGGACTGTGAATTAATGTGGACACTATATCGCATCATTTCTGTTTTTAATAAAAAATGAAATGTAAAAGCCTTTTTGTTTCCGCTTTTCATCAAACCGGCTACTTAAAGTGGCAATTGAACTTCGTGTCGCGCAGTTTTGGTCTGAAATCATTATACTTGAAATCACGCGTATGATTCATTTTAGACCAAATTGCGCTCCACTCAGTTCAATAACCATTATAAACCTCACAAGCCGCCATCAGTTAAAGATTTGTTCTGTCTTTCTTCATAGTTAAGTAGTGAGGTAGATTTGTTTCTACAGTTTCGGAAACTAAGTAGGTTCTTGACCTTCTCCAAACACGTTGACTTTGTCCACTAAAATTGACTTGGTAAAATAACCTAATCCAAAGAACTCCGATTTCGCAAAATGTTTCAAATGAAAGAAGGTACCTCTATGTGAAACGCCTTACCATCTATAATTAGTATAGGTAATAGCATGATTTGTAGTGATATTTGGCATAAATACCACGAGTGATATTTCGAAATTGTTGTACGTAATTTCACGAGCCGTTAGGTGAGTGAAATTTGAGTCAATTTTGAAATATCACTAGTGGTATTTATGCCAAATATCACGTACAAATCATGCTATTATTTGTTTATACTACTACCCGCAAAGGTTTTGTAATTTTCACATGTAGGTATTTCAAATTAAGCTGAAATACCACTGCTCTTAGTCAATCAAATTGAAGAAATTTCTCATGTGGTAGTATAAATGCGATAACATCAGCGTAAATAATTCAGAAACAGTCAGCGTAAATAATTCAAACACAGTCTAAATCTGAATGCCATGAATCTAGGTAAATATTGCAGTGTTGGAGGTCAACTTCCCTTCATTAAAAAATTCTCAAGACTAAACACTCTCCACCATGGAGTCGCATTTGTCTTGTTTCAAAATAAGTCCAGCTGAGTCTCCAGTTAGTGGTGGTACTCAAAGTAAAACACAAGACCTTGGATATCTAGCTGTTACCAGCTGCAGCTTCTAACCTTTTAAATGCAGTATTGGTAAGTCCCGTATAATACTTAATGTCAAGCGACTTTTAAGCACTCAGATATGTCAAAATGTTTTTTAAAAAAGCGTATAATATAAAATTAATGGAAAAACAACTTACTTGGAAACAAAACATTACGTTAACTCTTTTCAGTAAGTAACAGACCGGTTACTTAAACGTTTAAGAATACTTTTCCTTAAGTTTCTCTCAAAGAGCTTGCATTTTAGTAACTTAGAGGGCTGAACTCACTACGAAAAATAATATATCAAATCGAAAAAAACAAAAACATGGAACAGAGTGGAGAAATAATGGTTGTATTTAATTCGAAAACTGCAGCACGGGGGAGTTTTATCAACTAAACCGCAATTCTGTTAAATGCGCAAAATATCCCTCCTCGATGTTAAATTGCTGCCTTATTTGGCTAACTGTTAGCGTTCCAAGAAGATTAGAAAAAAAAGGTTCTTAAACATACCTTCATTACAAGAATGACTTCTTACAAACGAGGCCATGCTTTTATACAAGATTATGACGCAAGAAATCATGTAGTAGAATTTCATATTCCGTGTCAATTACTTCGGTCTACTTAACTTCAAAGGCTCTCACTCAGTGTATTTGTTACTTGAGTAAAAGTAATCTGTTCTGTCACTGTTAACAAGGAAGATGTGTAGTGAAAACGAATGGCTGTGTACACTATCAATTATTCAGTAAATTTTATCATGCAGACAAGAAAACAAGATGTTATAGGTAGCCTGCGATCATAGTTGTTTGTTGGTGTGGGGAAAATGTTTCAGTCAAAGAAAGTTTTAATTAAAGAAAGAATTAATTTCCATACGTGAAAAATCATCGCTGTTATGCTCGTAACTTAGATGCGAAAAAGAAAGCCTGAAAAAAAATGAATACAGACGCGTCTTCAACACCTAAATTAACAACGGTGCAGAATTTCCTTTAGCGCTGCTTTTTATGCAGAAATACGTATGTTATCAAATTAGCACATAGGATGGCTGTTTTTCCCTAGCGACCGAATACATGGTCTGAATACAGGTATAGACTTTCCCATTTTGGTCTGGAATCTGGTATAGTTTTTCGAGGAAACTACAGGAGTGTATAAACATACTTGTCTTTTAAATCCCAAATGAATAAGAGCGACTGAATAGAAATATGTGAATTCGAAATGCGTTTGAAGAAATTTTTTGTTTGCGCTCTACTCTAAGTAATGATGACATAATTTCTGCCTAAAGGCAAGGTCTGAAAACGGGTATGGATTTTAGAGGTCTTGTCTGAAAACAGGTGTGGAAAATGACATTTTTTGGTCTGAAATAGGGTCAGGCACACCCCCGTCAGACCACTTCCTCCCTTTTCCGGGTTGGCTTGGGCAGTAGCGACCAGACTTTTGTCAACAATAGGTAATTTTTGCCAAGTTCCATAAACTTTCACTTTAGAAACGAGGCTAAGTGCAAAACCTTTCCTGTTGCACTTAGCCTCGCTTTGAAAAAGAGGCTCGGAACAACATTGAGTCTGTGGGCGAAATTCCATGGTGCTGGTATTCAAATGAAACCTATTTAGTAGAACTTTTGCAGAGTACCATTAATTTCTTACGATTTTACAAAACGAAATTTAATTTTGGGGGGATTTTTTTGGCCAGGCGGTTAGAAGTGAAACGGTTTATACGGCAAGTCTATCCCAAGGCCTAATGAGGAGTGAGCGTTAGGGGTGCGCAGATAATAAGAGGGATCATTGAGTTTCGATTTGAATAGAAAGGAGAAGTCGGTACGTCACGTTGCCATGGTAGCAAAATTTTTGGAAGACAACAAACCGATAAAGTCACTTAAAAGTCTATTCGCACTATTTCAAACTTCACCGATCTTATTCAATTTAATTTAATTTAATTTGACAAATCTTGGCGAAATTTTCTTGAAACCCGTACCGAGGCAGCATTATACCAAGGTTCAATCAATTCATTTTATTATTAAGTTCCTCTTTGCAATTTTCGAACAAAAAGCGGGGAAAGGAAATCGTATTTAGACCAGGAACCCGTTTCCCGAGGTCCCGCCAAAGTCTTCAAAACCTGACTGTGTTTAGACAAAAATCATGCATTTCGCTACCCTGTCGAGAGAACTTTTTTTAGGGCCCTGATTCGTTTCGTTTCCCATACAGCATTACGTAGTTTCGATTAAACTTTTTAAACTGACACACTGGAATTAGATGATTTTGGAAAAAATAATTTTGAGTACGAATCCTGAAGACTCATAGCTAGCCTGCGAAAACATCCGTTTCTCCTCGCTCTTCGCCGCTGGGGACGTTTCGCGAAACGTCCCTCAGTGGCGATGAGCGAGGAGAAACGTCTGCCTTTCGCAGGCTAGCTCATAGCCTACGGACACAAACGTCAGACGACCGTGAATACGTCTGTGTCCGCAGGCTAAAAGACTCAGAAAAACCATATCCTGTTCAGCAGCAAATATGGAAGTGCTCACCGGGACTAGAGTACCCTAGGGACCATATTTCTCATGCAATACAGCAAAATAAGGGCCTGTTTACATGGAGGTGGGGGACCCCAGCAAGGTGAGGTTACCCGCTTAGGTGGGATAAAAAATTCACCCTCCTTTACATGCAATCTTACAACCACGCCATCCCGGGGTGCACTTTCTCAAGCTTATTGAATGGTCGCTAAGCACGTAAACAAGAAACATGATGGCAAACCACGTGTTTTGGCGATTAATGCTCTTCTACACTCACTTGCTGCTCTTGCTGCAACCTTCAGTGTGATGGCTTTCTATTGTTAACTTTAATAATGATGCAAATCCACCGCCAAATTTTGCGCTAATTTGATGTACCACGAATCGGACCTCGGCTAGGCGGGTTACCCCTCCTTGAATCGTTAATTTACATGGCAAAATTTGACCCGGCTGAGAGGGTTACCCGGTCTGCCAGACCAGGCTACCTGCCTTTGGGGGTCACCCCATTTATCATGTAAACGTGATCACATTAAAATGAGAGATTATGGACAGGCGGGTTACC